AAATGGTTAAATCTTTGAAAACAGATCATCAGCATGTTTGCACAAAACAACAAATGCTAGAGACAGACATGAAAAGCCTTAAGAATGTCTGAACATGCAAGATACTGCTCAGCCTTCTGCTTTATCTTCACCATAGGTATGTCATTTTCATCATTTATAGAAGCAGGGATACTACGTATAGTTTCATTGGTATTTAAAAATGTGACATCAAATATAAAATGATTATTAAAAATGGTTTTATTAAAGACAGAATGACAATGAAAGATGCTTGATGAAGTCTGTTGGTTGCAAGAGTGTGTTAGAATTAAGTAATTACTTACTTTTCATGGAAAAACTACTAGGTCAACACATATTCTAGTAGCATCAAGTCAAGTCACCTTTATTTGAATAGCACTTGATTATACAATACAGATACAGATCATCCAGTTCAGCTCTCTTCCAGTAGTGTCTGTGCAATCAGTCAAGCGTCCCCAACTAAGCAAGCCAAATGGCGACAGCGGCAAGGAACCAAAACTCCATCGGTGACAGAAATGGAAAAAAAACCTTGGGAGAAACCAAGCTCAGTCAGGGGACCAGTTCTCCTCTGGCCAGACAAAACCAGCATGGTGTGGTTTAATTCCATGCTGCAACACAGGTCAGATTGAGCAGAGGACTCGTCTGGTTCTCGTGGTCTTGTGCCGATGGTTGTCGAGGTGACGAAGTCTTCACAAGGGATCTGTCTCTAGTTGATATGGTCTCTGCTGACATTCAGGGCTGTAGAGGTCGTCTTTAGGTGCTGATCCACATCTGGTCTAGATATGGACTAGATTCGTATGGCTACGGTGACCTCGGAATAAGAATGAAACAGACTAATATTAGCGCAGATGCCATTCTTTGTACGATATAGCGAGTACATCGGGTGTTATGGGAAGTGTTCCTGGTTCCGATTGACCTAATTAATGCAGCCTAACAATCCTTTAACGGATTTGAGTTGCGATAGTGTGTTATGTGAATGCCTTGTTAAAGAGATGCGTCTTTAATCTAGATTTAAACTAGATCTAATCAAGTGTGTGACTTTAACATGTAAGTATCAGTTACAGATTAGTGTGTGGACAGACAAATCTGATAGTGTTGGAAGATATTATTATTAGTAATATATATATAGTATTGTTTTTTGTTTGCATTTTTTAGGAGTTCTCAGGTGTCGGTGCTGTAATGTGTTAACAGGAGGAAGTGATCGCAGATAAAATCTCACTTCCTCTCGCTCAGATCTCGACTGTAAGCGAGGAAGCTGATCAGAAACTTAGTTTAACTCATTAATGACACTCTATGAAGCTAAAAGCAGGCCTGTGTGACAAAAGAAACTAAAGTGTAGCAGACAGTAAAATTGTGAGGCTAGGGAACAGATTTACTAAAGAGGGCAAATTAGCGTTAAAATTGTAGTTCTGTGTGTGATTTACTGACAATGCGCAAAATAAAGAACACAGACGCAGCCGGATCATAATGACCAACGCAATCTACCCAAGAGCAGCACAAACAAGGTGCATGTAATCTACTAACAACACAGGCGCAAATGGGTAAAGACATGCTTTTCTGAGCGGTAAATAATGGCGCAAACACCAGTAAACTAGCGCAAACCTTAGTAAATCACATTGCATTATTCATTTAAATACTCTCCTCCCATACATTTTGCATCTGAAGGGAAACTCCTACAAATGCATATGCAATAAGGTCAGAAAAGGCCTTTTCAGTGCTAATTTCTCACTGCACGTCTTTAGTAAATCCTGACAGTTGTTTTTTAAAAAGGGTTTGTGCTGATGCAAGCTGTTAGTAAATCTGGCCCTATATGTATAAATATGTGTAAAAACAAAAACTGGAATTCTTTACAATAAAGTCCTATTAGCATTAACTAAAAATGAACAATACATTTGTTACAGTATTTATCAATCTTTAACATTAGTTACTACAACTGTTCAATATGTTTACATCCAAAGTTGCGAATTTAACTTTTGTGCAAAATTAGAATATTGCATAAAACATTTGCGGATAAAGTTTCCCACATGTGCGAAAATAAAATCATCACTTCCTAGAAACTGACACAAATTATCAATAATAAAAACGAAGTTTCGGCACCCAAGGAAGCCTGTGGCTCTTTTTTCCTACATAATAAATGACTTGTAGAGGAACGCAATAACAAACGCTGTGATGATGTCTTGCATTTGGAGGCGGACGATGTTTGTGAACGCAATCATGGGAGGTGATTATACCAAACCATTTTGATGACAGACTTCAGCTTAGGCATTTCAGAATGACTAAACAATATTTGAGTTGGTGTGTGTTAGGCATGTGCCGATTACCGGTTGTAAGGTATACCGCGATTTTAAAATTTCACGGTTTCAAAACCGCTAATATTTTCCGTTATACCATTCCTGCGGTATGCGCTGTTTTTCATGTCTCCTCAAAGACTGAAAGTGTAGGAATCCCTCAGGTTGAGTGCAGTGTAGAGAGTAACATGACCCTCCTCCTCCTGTTGGTGCGAGCGAGCGGTCAGTCACGTGTGTACTGTGTAAGACGGCCGAACTTAAGAAGCTTCCTCTGGAACTCACGCGATCGGCAACCGGCCGTTTATTGTTTTATTGCAGCTCGTCTCTGTTCTGGACTTGCACAAACTGCGTTGCAAAGCAGTCATTCCAAAATATAAAAAAGGTGGATGGAAAGATTGTTAGTTCAACTCAATTAAATGATATTAACAAATACAACTTTTGATTTTAATGAAGTATAAGTAAATGCTGAAATTAACATTAACTAAGATTAATAAAAGCTTTAGAAGTATTTTTTTTATTGTTAGTTAATGTTAAAAAACTATGTAAAAAAAGGAACCTTATTTAAGTATCACCAAAATCAAAGATGTTTCGAGAAAAGGTCAGATTGAACCTCTAATGTGAATAAAACAAACTTAATACTACATTTTAAAAGATTTAATGTGCTTAATTTTACTTCAAGGCAACATTATATAGACCCCCATTACATAGTAATCTGATGAATTTTGAATAAGGATACTTGACTCATATTTTACAGATTGTTTGTTGGTGACGCATGTAAAGGCACAAGACTCTTCCAGTGATGAACCAGGTACAAACACACAGTCCAAACCATACAAAACCCATTCAGATCTAAACACTGATGTTTCTTTCCTGACCCTCAGAAACCAAATATGCCATCATAGGAGCAGGAATTGGCCTTTTCTTTTCCATCTGCTTTCTGCTAATCAAAATGTACATCATCAAAAAGCAGGTGCATGACAATGAACTATCAGGTAAGTGTTTTCCTATAAATCTGATAAAAAAAAAAATAATAACAATCATGGCTTTAATCAAATCTTCATTATTTTTAAAACTTGGATATTTTTAAAGACACACCACTAAGAAGAGCATCTGCACGGTAATAACATTTTTATATGCAAATTACACTTTCCCATACCAATATAATCATTATATAGTTACAAAACATTGATTTGAAAGTGAATCTCATAAAATGATGACCTCTGTTTTTAAGGACCATTGATGTGGAGAGCAGAAGGGAATGAAATGTCTTCCGAGGATGAATTAATACAGTCCTTTGTAATTCTATAGCAATTTGATAGTTTTATTTATTAAATGGTGGCCAGTTTAGGCCTATAAAACAAATGATTGTAAATTCAGCAGAACAGTACCATTGCTGTGCCTTCATGAGGTCATTCTGTGCTTTTTGAGCCATACCCGCTTTTATGTGAATAATATATATATATATACTGTACTCGGAGCTATATATTCATTAATTGTAACATAGAAATATACTGTTTGTATCAAGAGCATAAAAGATTTAAACCAGCTTGTCTTTTCATTATGAGGTCATTCTGTGCTTTTTGAGCCATACCCGCTTTTATGTGAGTAATATATATATATATATACTGTACTCGGAGCTATATATTCATTAATTGTAACATAGAAATATACTGTTTGTATCAAGAGCATAAAAGATTTAAACCAGCTTGTCTTTTCATTTAGAATCCATTTGTTGTCTTTGATCATGTTCTACTTCCTTTATTCATCTGTGGTGTGACAACTAAATCTACATTTCTATGTCATCAAACATGACTGTATATTTCTTAAATCGGCAAAACTGACTGTAAAATTGTTAAGTCTACAAAAAATGAACAGCTCTGAGTACAGAATCTGATTTAGAGTCATTACTCTTTATTAAAATGCATCTCTCTTTCTCTCTCATGCTTAATCTACAGTATCAGAAACACATAAATGTAATTTTTCACCCTAAATGTTATTTTTTTTTAGAGCTATCTTGAGTCTTGCATTTGCTTTATCTTTACTCTAAATGTATAATACATATATCTATATCATGCAATGTCACACTTTATCCAGATGAGGGCAGTCAGTCCTTTCCTGCTGTTCCACATCTGTTTCCACTATCAGTTAAAAAACAGTCGGCTGTCAGTCTCAAGAACCAGAATATTGTAAACAAATACATTTACTTCTGCTGGGCCATGAGGCCAGATCAACTACAACCCACTGAGTGAACCTGTTAACATACCAGGAACAGACCAAATAAACAATGCCAATACATATCTGAGAATTTCTGAGTAAACTACAACATTTCTACAACTACAACACATCTTGATGATTATATATATATATATATATATAATTTTGAAACTTCTTGCTGTGTCTGTATGCTCTCTAAATCAGTCAAGAAATGTACCTTTCCATTGTATTTAACTGCATATAAGCACACAAGATGCTATGAAGTGTTTCGCAATAAACCTCGTTTATAACTGATAGTCTTCAACTGGACTGGACAAAAAATACATTTCAGCCTTCTGACGTATAGTGTGTAGTCCTATACAAAGGGGGAGGAGAGAGGGTGTAGACTAAGTAAAAACAGAGCTGAGTGTCCCGTCTCAGGTTACACAGAGAAGGAGAGAAAAAAAAAAGAGTAGAGGAATTCGTTTTTTGTGAAGAGATTGAGCTGGAGTTGCATGGAGCCCATCAGATTGGAGAATGAAGATCTCTGCAGTGCTAACAGCTCTCCTGACTAACCTCTTCTTAGGAAGTAAGTGCAATCTGTCTGAATGTCATTTCAACTGTGATGTTATTCAGTGTAGCTGGAAAATCTCAGTCTAGGTGTTGCACGTCAGTGACTTTTTTAATGCATGTGTTTCTTTTTTATTTTCATATGTTGATTTGTTTTTGTGATTTTGAGAGTTTGATTATAAAGCTCAAGTTACTGTCTAAATCAGTCAAGCTGATATATGTACAGTGCTTCAATACAAATGATATTTCCGTTTCAATTTGTCTTTTTCCTGGTAATTTCCTTTTTCTCTCTGGCTACTAGTAAGTTGTGGTTTCTGACTCCTCCTTCACTAGCATATAAGGAATATCCTCAATTTATGTAACTTAAATCCTATTTCTGTCTGTATTTATATACATGTGGTCACTCCGAGTTTACAAATAGCACAACATCCTCACAGAAAGAAATGACACACCAGGTTGTTTTGTTCCTTTAAAAATGCTTACAGCTCATTGAAAATTGTAATTGTGACAGATTTTGTGGAATTAGATTTTACATCTGTTTTTTTATATATTCGTTTTTATATCAACTTTACATTCAGGCTATATTTCTACATATTTAAATGAACATCCATTCAGATTCATAACTATACGTTTGATTTCATAAATATACATTCAAATGTATACATACACATACACATATATATATATATATATATATATATTTATATATTACTTTTTACTTTTATGTCATTATTTTGTTTATATATTTTATAAAATTTGATCAAAAATAAATACAGTATAAACAGCAATATTGTGAACTAGTATTAAGATTTAAAATAACTGCTTTCTATTGTATTATACTTTAAAATGTAATTAATTCCTGTGATCAAAGCTGAATTTTCAGCATCATTACTCCAGTCTTCAGTGTCACATGATCTTCAGAAATCATACTAATATGCTGATTTTTCTGCTCAATATGTCATATAATAGATCTATTATAATTGATATATATATATACCATTGTAATGTAATACAGAGCCAGACAATTTATGGGGACGTCTGTTTGAGATCCACCCAAGTAATGTTCTACAGATGGCCTGTCAAAAACTCATTAAGGAGCAGCAAGAGGGTCTGGAAACTCTCACTTTTAATTTCCCAGCAAGCATTGCTTTACAGTTCTCTTTAAAGTCTGCAAACAAATTGCTGGCTTATACCGCTGAGACACAAATTACTTGTGTTTAATAATAATTTTATCCAGTTAGAATTCATTTTTCTTGAATATTGTAGCTATTTGGGAACAGTTCACCCAAAAATGAAAATTTCCTGAAAACGTACTCATCCTCAGGCCATCCAAGATTAGGATGAGTTTGTTTCTTCATCAGATTTGGAGAAATGTAGCATTGCATCACTTGCTCACCAATGGATCCTCTGCAAGTGAATGGGGGCCGTCAAAATGAGAGTCCAAACAGCTGATAAAAACATCACAATAATCCACTCCAGTACATCAATTTCTCCAAATCTGTTCCCATCAATAAATAAACTTTTTTTCAAATTTTCATTTTGGGGGGATACTATTCCTTTAAATGGTGCATTGCTCTGTGAATAAAAGATTTATTTGCTTTATATATTCCGACTACAGATGTGTGCTCAGCTATCAATGTCACAGTCACACCGTCTCCGTTCAGTGTGGTGGCTGAGGGGGAAAACATCACCCTGTCCTGTCAGGTGAGTCAGCGGCGGCGGGCAGCGAGTCTGCCTGTGGTGCGGTGGATGTTTCAGCCGGAGTCAGGAGGAGAGGAGCTGCTGGTAGCGCGGGTGAACATGCGGAGAGCCAAGTTCTACGGAAACTACACCAAGAGCTTCTGCAAGCCCAAAATTAAACTGACAGTGGTGAAACAGGGCAAGATATACAACCTCCTCATCATGAACATCAGCAGACAGGACAGGGGTCTTTACAGCTGCAGGGTCCAGGAGTTCAAGAAGCATCATGAACGATGGAAAGCTTCGACTAACAGCTCGGCCTCCACGCAGCTCAGAGGTTTGTCCATATGTTGTTGTGAGAAGGGTTGGAAATTAATGGATCATTGGGGCAAAAATGCCACCAAAAATGCCCCTCAAATTTAAGACAAAACATAACTATAGATACAATTCACTACAGTTTTCAGCTGAAATGAACACTGGTAGCAGTAAAACACCAACAACTTTTGTTCATTTTCACACAAATTATGATTATTAAAAACGTATATTTGTGTGGTTCCTCGCACAATAATATGTTATGTCCTCAAAATGCTTTTACCACAGTGCATGATTTGTAAACTAATACATTTTGACATTTGCATCACATAAGCGGCTCCATGGGGGTTTACAGCAAAGCAGAAAGAGAAAAGCGGGGTCAGAGACTCCACTAGATCAGAGTTTCCCAAAAAGGGGCACCAGAGTTCGCTGTGGGTGGGCGTCGCCTGGCCTACTTAAAGGGGTCATATGATGTGATTTCAATTTTTCCTTTCTCTTTGGAGTGTTTCACCAAATCAAAATTGGATGTTTGTGGCTTTTAGTCCATGTGTGTTAACTTTGAGACCTGCTACATATGAGTGCCAAACATCTACAAAAGTTAACTTTTAGCAAAACACTTCAAATTTACAGTCTTTCCCTTTAGGTAATTCTGACCAAAACTACTCTTGATCGACTCATCTTGTATACAAATGTTTGTCAAATCGACCAACAACAAGCAATAGCAAGTAGCAAATCCAACATATGCTCATTGGAAAAATGTGCCTATACCTATATTTTTGTAAAATATGTAGGCCTACCTATAAATACAATTCACTACCCTTTCTAGCTGAAATGAACACCGGTGGCAGTAAAATGGCAACAACTTGCATTCCTTTTTACACAAATTATAATTACAGTGCAGATTACCAATTATTAAAAACATATATTTGTGTGGTTCCTGGCACAATATGGCCTCAAAATGCTTTTACCATAGTGCATGATTTGTAAACTAATACATTTTGATATTTACGTTATACGTAATCAGTTCGATATATTTGCCATTTCTGACTTAGTAAACTTGCTTGGTACCGCACCCGGTACAGCACTGCACTTGTGATGTGAAGCACGAGTCACGGCAAAAGAGCTCAAAGACTTGTAGAAGCAAGATAAAATGGCATGATTGCTTCAGCAAACTAAAAGCAACTGGTAAGAGTTGAGTCATATGTGACCCTGGACCACAAAACCAGTCTTAAGTGTCCATTTTTTTTTCTTTATAAATTGAGATTTATAAATCATCTGAAAGCTGAATAAATAAGCTTTCCATTGATGTATGGTTTATTAGGATCGGACAATATTTGGCCGAGATACAACTATTTGAAAATCTGGAATCTGAGGGTACAAAAAAATCCAAATATTGAGAAAATCGCCTTTAAAGTTGTCCAAATTAAGTTCTTAGCAATGCATATTACTAATCAAAAATGAAGTTTTGATATATTTACGGTAGGAAATTTACAAAATATCTTCATGGTACATGATCTTTACTTAATATTCTAATGATTTTTGGCATAAAAGAAAAATCGATAATTTTGACCCATACAATGTATTTTTGGCTATTGCTACAAACATACCCCAGCGACTTAAGACTGCTTTTGTGCTGCAGGGTCACATACAGTATGTGCCACTCAAACTTCTATTTCAGTAATATGTCAACACATGAAAGAACATGGTCATTTCGTGGGGTCTTCATTTTTGAAGGTGTAGAAAAAGCTCTAAATTTCTGTTTTTCAAAAGGTATTAAAATGAGTTAATATATATATATAATACTGTAGTCTAACAGAAGTTCTTTCTTTAAGTGTATGTTGGAGTTTGTTCTTGACAACCCCAAAAATACACTTTCAAGTCAACATGAAACACTGTTACTGCCGTAATTTGGTGAGTGAAACAGGATATTTTATCCTTCATGATTGCGAAAACTGATAAGAATAGAGTCAAGCAGAGGTATTGAAAAGTAAGAGAGATTCATGACGTCAGCTGCAAAGGAAAGTTGTTCTATTTCAGTAAAATATTACAAACACTTTTTTTATTTGGAATAATTTTTGCAGCACATGATAAATAAGACCTAGAACTTGCATTAATAAAGTAAACAGGATCCATTTTGATTTCATGTTAACTTTAAAATGAGGTTTACTTGAAAAAGGTGGATGAAAAGCCATACAGTATAATGACACTTTCAAGTCAACATGGAACACTGTTACTGCCGTAATTTGGTGAGTGAAACAGGATATTTTATCCATCATGATTGGGAAAACTGATAAGAATAGAGTCAAGCAGAGGTATTGAAAAGTAAGAGAGATTCATGACGTCAGCTGCAAAGGAAAGTTGTTCTATTTCAGTAAAATATTACAAACACTTTTTTAATTTGGAATAATTTTTGCAGCACATGATAAATAAGACCTAGAACTTGCATTAATAAAGTAAACAGGATCCATTTTGATTTCATGTTAACTTTAAAATGAGGTTTACTTGAAAAAGGTGGATGAAAAGCCATACAGTATAATGATGACGTAACATACAGTAAGGAAATAAAAGCTCCACATCCAGTTATTACTGTATGCACAGATACCCTAGACTCTAACTGGCTAAACTAATCCACACAATTGCACAAGACCCTACTGTTACTAATTACTTAGTAGGGAATGATTATATACTCAAGTTGATGCATGAACATAACTAAACATAACTAACAATTCAATTTAGATAAGAATTTGTGCTCCTCATTTTACAGTAGGTCATCCAACCAATGAGATAAGTGAAGTAATCTCAAAACCAAGCCATACCACAAAGCTCAAAACTTTCTTTCCCTAAAACATGATCCCATTTTCCACTGACAGTGTTCGTAAGGAGAACCGTTGAGCATCTCTGCCATGTGAGGGAGGATGTGGTGCAGATTTAAATGCACAGTAGCACAGAGAAAGCAGCGAATAGTGACCATGTTTGTGGGTTTGACGATGCTGTAGGGAGATGTTTTGTATGACTCTTGTCTTGACAGAATGTGCTGCAAATCAAAAAAACTTTTATTGAAGGCTGTTTCTGTAGGGGGGAAAAAACTAGGTTTGAAGTAAATGGGTTGTATTATTTATGCATTTTTGTTGTGGCCATTTTTCATAGAGTGTGATCATTCATATTGCAAAGACAGAGGAAAATGTTGTTCACTTTAAATTCTCAACTTTGTATACACTTCCATATATTCACTACTTCTTTTCATAGCTGAATGCACTGTGGTGGTGCAGTGAAATCATTAATAGATGCAGCTGCTCTATTGAAACATGCATCTCTATTCATGCATCTGTGAGGTCCTCAACAAATGACTTTTGGCATCCTGTTAAGTGACAGAAGCCTTCAGTAAACCACTGAAGATTTTGTATCTGGCTCTTCTTTTTTTTTGAGCCATGTGACTCAATAGAGCTTTTGTCCCTCCCCAGTTCAGTCAGGCACGAGCAAGAGCTCCAAAAATAAGCACATTTCTGCAGCAGCCATGAATAGAGAAATAAATACTAGTCCATGTGCAAGCAGAAAAAGCAGAAGACATTTACAGTGTGGTTAATAAGAATGCATAGACAACTGGAAATACCGTACATGTTCTACATTCTAATTCTGTGTCAAATGCAACAATAGATTCTAAATAAGACAATAACTAATGACTTAAATAAGCTAGTCAACCTGCTGTTTCTGTGGTCTAGCGGTTAGCAAATCAAACCATTCCCGATTCCCAATAATGTCCCCTCTTCTCTTTTCTCTTATTCCATAAAAGGGGTCATATCATGCGATTTCAATCTTTCCTTTCTCTTTGGAGTGTCACAAGCTCTTGGTGCATAAAGAAGATCTGTAAAGTTGCAAAGACTAAAGTCTCAAATCCAAAGAGATATTCTTTATCAAAGTTAAGAGTCAGCCACGCCTACCTAAAACAGCTCGTTCTAACACGCCCCCACATATCTACATC